GAGGTTGCTACTAAAAGCAAGACTGTACAATAAAGGTGGCAATCCTAAAAGCACCAATCAGCTAAAGGAATAATCAGCTGTACAAACTGTACTTCATAAAAAACCACCAGTCAATCATTTTAATCAGATTAATTTCAACTCAAGTTAGAATGCTACCTGGGTTTTGGACAGATTAAACTGCAATCAGGCTTAAGATGAAAGCGATAGCAATGCATTTTAAATATGAGTTTATCCATACACTGATGTTCATGTAATTTCGAGGTAACCCTCTGTAGCTGACCTTCTGACAACACAGTAGCTTGGACCCCCTAGCAGAAGAGCAGATGATTTGTGGAAACATTAAAAAAACAACAAGGCAATGGACAAATGATGGGAAGAACCCTCAAAATCAACCTGCCAGGTGGCACAGACAACACTGAATTCAGTGCCTCATTGATCCAACACAAAACAGCACCAATTCCATAGAATTGTGGCTTTGAAAGACATTCCACAGCCTGCCTCATTTATCTATTTAATTTGATTTCTGTGCTACTAAATTCCCATGGGTTCTTGTCACCAGCTTACAGAATGCCACAAGAATTAACACATAAACACCCCACAAACCATAACAGCACCATCCCACTATACTTCCACCTTCCGAAATGCATTCTTAAAGAGCCACGCATAGCCCTCTGGAAGCCCAGAAAGGTGGAGGAGGACAGGATATCCTGGAGCAAACTGTTCCAAAGAAAGGGGACCACCACCAAGAAAGCTCGCACTGGGATCCCTACAGGTGGCTTTCTCTCAAAGATGGGGCCCTCAGCAAACTCTCTCTTTCCAATCTCAGCAGTTAATTTTTTGTCAAGCTCCCCACAGCTGGGCAAGATCCAGGAAGAACCACCCAGACTCCAGCAAGAAATCTTAAATGCTAGTCTGGAGGTAAATACAGAATCTTGGAAACTTTAAGAGGAACATTCAACCCTCATTTATAGTGAACTTATTAAAGCAGAGGTTCTTTGAATGCTTTGAAATGATTCTTTGCAGGTTTCTTGGCACCTGGATTGAGCTGCTGTTTATGAGATAAACTTCCTAAGACTAGTCTTCTACCTCTTGATAAGCTTATACCTGAGTTTCCCAACTTGAGCAATTGCCAGATATGCAGATTTCACTTTCCATAATTCCCAAACCAACAGAAGAGAATATAAGTAGCTCAGGCTTGAACCGTGGAGTTCTTGGTGCTCTCTGAGCTTGTTTGTTTGCTTGCAGACATTTCATTACCCAATTAGGTAACGTCATCAGTACAAGTGAGTGTGGGGTTTGCTTTATGTTTATATATAGTGGGGTTGGTTTGCTTAGAGTACAAGTAGTCCTTGACTTACGACAGCAATTGGGACCGGAATTTCCATTGCTAAGGGATGCGGTCATAAAGCGCAACTGCATCGCTTAGCGATGGCAATCCCTGCAGTTCCGATTGCCTTTGTTAACCAAATCCCACGGTCCTTCGGTGAGACAACTTCTTGCCAGCTTCCCACAACCAAAGTCAGTAGGGAAGCTGGCAGGAAGTTACAAGTCCCAGGCCAGCAGGCAGGTAAGTGGGGGAAGGAGTGAGGGGGTCCAGGAAGAGCCTGGGAGGATTCTCAAGGGTGTGAGGAGGTGCACAAGAGGTGTGGTGCAGGTCAGGGAGGGTACAATAGGATGTGAGGGTCGGGGAAGGTGTGCGAGGGTGGCATGGCAAGGGTCAGAGAGGTGTGAAGGGGTGTATGAGTGGCCAGCACAGTGCCAGTGCAGATGGACTGGGGGAGGGTGTGCAGGTGGGGGGAACTTACCCCAGCAACCTGCGACCTTCCCTGTTGGCTTCCCCATTGACTTTTTGGGGAAGCCAGCAGGAAAGGTGGCAAATGGCGATTATGTGAGTGTGGCATATTGCAACTGATCACAACTGAGGACTGGCCATAACCACCATTCATTCAGTGCTGTTGTAACTTCAAATGGTCACTGAAGGAATGGTTGTAGGTTGAGGGCTGCCTGTATT